AACTGCAGAAACAACAATGCTGTCATCATCGCTCAGGGCTGTGGATCCGGGCGGCTCCTCAATCACCACGGGCAGCTGGTTCTCCCGCGACCACAGGTGGTGTCGTCCCCCGCCCGTACCGCCACCTCCTCTACCAGCCGCAGCACCGCGAGTGGCATACCCAGTGCCCTGCGCTGATGGCACGCCCGTCCCGCCACTCCCGACAGCGGCCGCCGTTGCTGGCGACAACACTTTTCGCGGTGGCTGGTGCGGACACAGCACAATCACGTTGGGCAGCGCGTGCTCATCAGACAAGCGCGCCTGCGCCTGCTCCATCAGAAACAGGTGCAAGGCGCGCAAAAACGACACGTGGCTGCAAATCACAACCACCCATACCGCGGACGTCAGGCCCGTAAAGGCATCGTGCAGCGCGTCCACATCTGCACTGGCCACAATGGCAGCGGTCCGGTTCAGTTTCGTGCGCTGCACAATGTCGTGCAGCCGCGTCGGCAGATCATAGCTCGGGTTGTACCGCAGCAGCACCACGCGGCGCCGATACACGCTTGGCGGGCAGAAGCCGTCAAACTGGCCCTGGATCAGCGCAGCAATGCCGGGTGGCGTCTTTGGCGACACGGAGGAGCCCAGGTGCAGCACAACAAACTGCCACACCAGCTCCGTGTACATCTCTGGGCACAGCACCAGACACGCCACCAGCCGCCGGAACAACCGCGCCGACAAGTCCGCGTCTGCACGGCCCTCTCCCTCGTCGTCCTCCGCACCACCGCCGCCACTGCTGCCCTTTGTGGCGGAGTTGGCCCCGTTTGCACCAGGGTTGCGCATCGCCTCTGTGCCGCTGGCGCGGGTGCTGCTCACCGTCAGCGTCGGCATGGGCCCAAACCCGCTGCCGCGGCCGTGCTGCGAGCCGAGACCAAAGGCAAGCCCTTGGTCAAGCACCATCGAGCCCACCGTCATGCCACCGTAGCTGCTGGCGGTGCTGCTGCTCGTGCTCTCGCGCATGTGCTGCGTCGCCTCGCGCTCGTGCGGCTGCATCTCAAGCAGCGACGGCACCTGCTCCAAGTACGCCTGCCACGCCTTCTCCTGCCCAAACAGGGAGTCCACAAAGTGCTCAAAGCCATCCTCGTTGCCCACCCGTACCACGTTGGGCCAATGCACGCGCCCCACCAGCCACTGTGGCGGGCCACCACCACCACCACCGCCGCCGCCGCCGCCACCCACGCCAGCGGAGGAGAGGGGCTCACCGAGGGGTCCGACATCCGACGCCGTCACGTCCACAAACGCATCGACGAGCTCAATCGGCAGCATGCCTTCGTCCACCAGCAGCAGCAGCAGGAACGTGACCATGGTGGCCTTGGTCCGCTCCGCCCCAACTTGTTCCACCAACATGTCCACCGTGTACGACAGCATGTTTTCGCAGAGGATGGTGACGGCCGTGTCGTTGGTCTTGGCCAGGATGCTCACGGCGCCGCCGCCCCCGCTGGAGCTGGCCGGCGCCAGCTGCCCACGCCCAAGCAGGCAGCGTGCGTAGTAGTGCAGAGCCTGCTGCCACCCGCCCTGCCCCAGGTCTGCCAGCATGCGCAGCCCTTCAATGTGCTGAAACAGCCGCGCAAGCACAGCGGCAACAGGGCGATAGCGCTCGCGCTTCTCAAACAGTGACACCTTGAACCAGAGCTTGTTGACGCGGCGCCGCCGCCCGTGCTTCTGCTTGTGCTTCAGCTGCGTAATCGCGCGCAGCAGCTGGTCGTCGTCAAACTCCTCCGCCTTCACAGACGCAATGCGCGCAAGCAAATCCTCCTCAAACGCCTCATCCTCCTGCCGCGACGTGAAGGTGAGCTGCTGCGACGCCTGCCACTCATTCTCCAGCTCCGGCTCAATGCTTGACACCACAACCTGCAGTGCGCGTTCCTCTGCAAACTCGGTGGAGAACAGCAGGGCGATGCCTGCCTGCGATTCATCGGGCACACAGCCCATGTGCAGGTAGTCCTCCTTTGGCAACACCGCCGCCTTCACGTGTCGCTCCTGCAAGATGGGCTGCAGCACGTCGTAGTCGTCCACCAGACTCGCCGGCAACAGCATGTTCTCGATGGACAGCGTGGTCCACAGCGTGTCAAACGCCATCCACAACGTGTCGTTTCCGCTCTGCGCCTTCAGTTCCGGCGACAGCGGCAGCAGTGCCTTGTGCAGCACAAACGGTTTGGCAGTGGGCAGCCACGACTCTGTGAACCAGGACACCCACGCCTTGCGCAGCGCTCGCTGCTGCGGCCCAACAACACGGGGCAGCAGGATCACATGTCCTGCAGCTTGCATCATGTCTGCCGCCAGCTGCTGTTTCTGTGCCTCAAGGTCCTGCACATGACAACGTGGGAAGAAGAGCAAAAAGGGAGTGAGTGTGTCCATTGCATTTCATGCGTGCGCATGCACGTGGGAATCTGACTTGGAATGCAAAGTGCTCGTAAGGTGGAAGAACAAGACATGCTTAGAAGATGGAACAGAGAGAGAGAGAGAGAGAGAGAGAGAGAGAGAGAGAGAGAGAGAGAGAGAGAGAGAGAGAGAGAGAGAGAGAGAGAGAGAGAGAGAGAGAGAGAGAGAGAGAGAGAGAGAGAGAGAGAGAGAGAGACAGACAGAGAGAGAGAGAGAGACAGACAGACAGACAGAGAGAGACAGAGAGAGAGAGAGAGAGAGAGAGAGAGACAGAGAGAGATAGAGAGAGAGACAGAGACAGAAAGAGATAGAGAGAGAAAGAGATAGAGAGAGACACACAGAGAGAAGACATCAAGCCACAAGGACTCAAGAAAGTGTGCATCTTGCCAAACTACGCATACATTTGCATACTTACACACACAAACACACACGCATACACATACACACAGATACACGCAGACACTTGAATACACACGCACACACACACACACACGAACCAGTTTGCGGGCGTTGCACAGGTGCTGAAGATGGGTTGTAGATTGCGCAATGACGTCTAGGCGCCTGAGTTTCGCGTGAAGCACAGCCTGTTCGCTGGCCTGGACCTTGATCCTCTCCTTGACGTCGTGGATGGCCTCCTCCAACCGCGTCTCTTCCTCCGCCGCCCGCTTGTCTTCCTCATGCAGGGCGGTGAGCGCCGCACGCGTGTTGTCGTACCACTGCTGCGCCTCCTCCAGCTTGCGCAGGCTGGGCCTGCACTGCTCCAGCACCTCAACATAGTCCACAACGGCCCGCACCCACGTGCACAGGTAGCGGCAGCACAGTGACGCCTGCCCCGCGCGCTCCGGTACAAAGTCCTTCCTGGACGTGTACTGCTTGAGGCGGGCAAGCATGCGCGGCTTGATGTCCTTGAGCGAGTACTCCGCCATGTGCTGAAAGATGCTGTCCTGGTTCAACAGCGCCTTGGCCTCCAGCCACGTCGGCGGCTCCTCGCCCTTGGGGATGCGCCCATCCCGGTATGTGAACACGCCGCGGAACAGCAGGCACACGGGCGCCACAATCGTCTCGATAATCTCCGGGGGCGCCGCGTACGTGCGCAGCTCCTCCACGTCCTCCTTGCGCAGCGACTGCAGCTCCGAGATGGCCGCGTCCACACGCGGTTGCACGTGCTCCAGCAGCGCGCCAACTTCCGACTTGAGCCGCAGATAGGGCGCAGAGGCCTTGGCAAGCTGCGACTCCCGCACGCGCTTCTCCGCCACGGCAGCCTCCCTTCGCTTCAGCAGAGCAAGGTGCTGGCGTTGGTAGCGATCGAGCTCGCGCGTCAGCTCAGCCATCTTCCCGTCCACAACCTGCAGCTCGCTCAGGAAGCTCTTACGGATGTTGTCCTTCTGCGCCAGCGTGTGCAGCAGGTGCCGCACGTCGGCCGTCTCCCCGTCAACGTGCATGCCGACCTGCTCCAGCAGCGTGAAAAACACAGACAGCAGGTGGTGCCACACGGCAAGCGGCCCCGTTTGGCAGTCCACAAACGCCTGCTTCGGCACCTGCCACCGCCACAGCGCGGACTGCACCCCCTGCGTCTGCTCCACCCGCGCCATCTGCCCATCAAACACCATGTCCGCGCACAACCGCGACAGCTCCCCAAGCACATCGGCCACCTCCCTGTGCTCCACAGCGCTTGTGCCCGCACCAGCGTCGCTGCCGGCATCGCTCGCAAACGACTGCCGCGTCCACCGCCTGCGGAACGCGTGCGACTTTGACGAGCGCCGCCCAGGGAAGTCCGGACGCGTGCTCGCCGCCCAGAAATCGGTGAAGCGCGGGCCCTGCAGTCGCAGCACGGAGACCGTCGTGTCGTGCAGCATCTGCCTCTCCCACTGGTGTGAACGCACGATGGAAAACCCGCCAATGCCCATGTCGCTGGAGAGCGCTTGGTCAAGCTGGCGCCCACGCTGCGTGCACGTGCGCGCACCACACGTGATTATGACGTGAAAGTGAGAGGCAGCCTTGGGGCGCATGCGGATCACGCGGCCACCATGCATCGACGTGGCTGCGTGCATCATCGTGCTGCCCGTCGCGCCTCCGCCCCGGCCAAGCGCACCCAACCACGCTGGGTGCTGTTGCGGTTGATGGGAATGAGAATTGGGATGGTGGCTGCCGTGCTGGTGCTGGTGCTGATGCTGGTGCTGATGGCGATGATGTTGCTGGTGTTGATGATGGTGGTTGTCATGGTGATGGTGTTTGCGACGCTGTCTGCGTTTGCGTGGGCCGTGCAAGCTTTCTTCTTGCTCATCAATCAGGGCGGAAGACACGTCGGCGCTCGCCTGGCTCTGCCCGATCACTACCTCCCGGCTGCCACCGCAGCTCAGCAGCGTGGCAAGCACGGCCAGCATCTGCTGTGATACCTGCTGTTGCCGCACGCGGACACAAAACACGGTGCGTGAGCTGGTTGGCGTGTGATGGAAGGCGTCCAGGTACGCGCTGTACACGTCCTCGGGCCGGCAACGCTCGTCCACGGTGATGCCCGCATATGCCAGGTCGAGAATCGAGCACGCCATCTGCACGAGCGTGTTGCGGCCCCACCCGCTCTCGCCAACGACCAACGCGTGTGAGAAGGGCACGACCAGCGTACCGAGCAGCTCAGCCAGCAGCCTGCGAGAGGTGTGCGGGAAATGCACGTGCTGCAGCAGGCCGTGCCGCTCGCACCGCGCGTGCGTGGTTGTGGCCTCAAACGCCCGTTGCAGCGCGGCGTCGAGCGTGTCGTCCAGGCGAATGTCCGCGTCGGCAGCACCGCGCCGCGCCATGCTCAGCGCCAAGATGACGGCGTGTGTCGCGCGCTGCGACGAGAACAACTCCACCGCATCGTCGGGCTTGATCATCGATTCGCTGAAGTGGTGCGATCCACACGTGTGCAGCACGGCCCGCACTGTGTCGTTGATGTCGTCCAGGGAGGAGGCGTACGTGCGCGCAGATGCGACAGACCAGAGGAAGCACAGCGCCGTCGGCACCGCTGGGTCAGACAGCACCGATGTGCGCAGCAGGTTGTCAAGCACACCCGTGTCCACCAGCGCACGCATGCTGGCAACCACCCGCACCGTGTGGGACACGTGCACGAGCAGCTGGGCACCCCCGCCAACGCCGGTGCCACCAGCGCCCGTCTGCTGCCCGCCACCACCACCAATGTTCATGCTGTCGTCCAGGCCACCAAACCCAAAGCCGCCAACACGGCCGCGGGCGCCGCCCTGCGAAGGGGGCCTGCCAACAGCGTCGCCCTCGGCGTCGCCTAGTGTCTCTGTTAGCGACCAGTGCAGGTCGCTGATGGCACGGCACAGGGTGTCTTCAAACGAGGCAACGCGCACGTCGCGAACGCGCATTGCCCGGGCAAACTCAAGCAGGAACGCGGACACCGCCGGCCGCACCAGCTCCACGCAGTCTGTGCTCGGCGGCACGCGCAACGGCACCATGTGGTGCAGCATGCTCCGCGCGTCTGCGCGCAACCCGGACTGGGCCTCGTTACGCGCGGTCAAGGTCAGGAGCGGCAGCGTGGTGGCAACCACGGCCGTGTCTGGCACAACCGCCAAGTCGCAGTCGCCGGTAAACACCTTGCGATGCTCCACCAAATCGCGCAGGCGCGCTGCAGTGGCCAGCGTCGACGCCTGGTCAACAAACGCACTGCGCAGCAGCACAGCCCCAGGCTGCTTGCTCGTTGCCGCCTTCATGCCAATGGCCACAAGCTGCGACGCCACAGCGCCGCGCACAGCTGCGTCGAGCGGGAAGAAGCACGAGAGCAGCGGCCGCGGTCGCGGCATGCGCTGTGCAAGCCCGCGAATCAGCGTCGCCTTGCCACAGCCGGCCTCGCCAGACACCAGCACAGACTCGTTGGCCTGCAGCAGCATCAGGGTGACGTCGGCCAAGCCCCACGTGTGCGGAGCAAGACACAGGTGGCTGAGCGACGGCAGATAAGGCGCACCCGCCCGCCGCTCATCGGCCGTCGTTGGGCGCAGGCCTGCAGGGGAGAGGGAGCTTGTCGAGAATGACGACGACATGCCACCGCCAGACTGCGGAGACAGCGATGGCGCCCGCGCGTCCATACTGCTCGCACCAGAGGCGCCCGCCATTCGTGCCCGGCGCGCGCCAGGCGGTGTCGTTGCTGTTGCTGTTGCAGCTGCGTCTGTGTACGAGAACGGCTCGCGATCAAAGGGGACGAGGCAGCCGGAGTCAACGTCGAGGCGACAGGACCGCAGCAGCACACGCGTGGTTGTGGTGATGGGCTCTGCTTTGCGTGCAGATGACAGCAGCACAGCTTCGCTGGTCCCCATGCCAACGTTGCGCGCAAGCAAGCAGCACGAGTCCAGGTGCGGCACAACCACCGTCTTGACCAGCCACTGCTCCAGTGCGTCGAGGTCCTCTGTCGTGTCTACCAGTGCAGACATGGGCCAGAGCAGGCTCTGCAGCACGCTGCCGTGCACGAGGCGCCTGGTGCTGTCCAGATTTGGCTTCCGGTTCGACTGGTGGCCAAGCTCCTGCTTGAGCCGCGCCGTGAGCATGCGAAGCACGCACACGGCCAGCTGCCGTTCCGCGCACACGCGGTTTCCCTTGCGGGGTGTTGCGAGCGGCGTTGCCGGACGGTGCGACGCGATGGGCGAGTGGCGGTGATGGGAGCCTTCAAAGGGGCTTGCGCTCCGCGAAACAAACCGCACCGTGTTGAGTGCCGCCCAGGACGCAGCCGTGCTCACGCGCAGGTACTCACTGGCTTGCGGCAGCACATACACCAGCATGTCCTCCAGCTGGCGCCGAACCGCGTAGTGCATGGCAGGAAACTCCGTGAACGACTGCGTGATGAAGCGGTGCACCAGGTCCGCCGTGGACACAAAGTCCGCCTCCAATTGCACAGACGCAGAGGGGATGGGCAGCTGCGCCAAGCCATGCAAGGGGCGGGGCGTCGTCGCCGCGCCAGACCCATCACCGGCATCGGCGCTTCTGTCCTGGCCCGGCTTGGTTGTGGCGTTGCTGTTGTCAGTCCGTCCTGCACTCGTGCCAGCTCCGGGCACCGTGCTGTTGCTTGTGCTGTGTTGACGCGTCGGCGTAACGGACGTCGACCCCGTGCGTGACGGTGTGCGCATTGTTGCTGACCGCGACGGGTACGAGGAGGGTTGCCGCTGTGGCGCTGATGCGGTCGATGATGAACTCGGGACTGGCTCAACGCCATCCAGCAGCTCAATGAACAACATGGGCGATGCCATGACCTGCGACAGGCCCGGCACAACCTTCTCCAGATCCACGGCGCGGGAGGCCACGCCACCGCCGCCCATCGTCGACATGGTGTGCCCACCACGGCTCGTTCCACGCAGCGTGTCGCGGCGGCCGCGTGCAAAGCTGCCGTCCAAACCGCCACCGCCACCCGTGCCGCCAAGGAGCGAGCTCGCCTGGCTGCCAACGCTGCTGCGGCTGGCCATGCTGCCACGGGTGGTGCGTCGCCGCCCCTTCATGCCACGCAGGCGCAGGCGAAGAAGACTGCTGTGGTCCAGGCCCATCGCCGCCATGCTGCGCGCTGAGAAGCGGTCCAGGCACGCCAGCTCCGCGGCAGAGAGCAGCTCCAGCGCCTTGCGGATGCACGCCAGGGACGTGGCGCGCAGCACCAGCCACGGCGGGCACTGCAGCAGGCCAGGTCGCGCGTTGCCCGAGGTGGAGATGGAGCCCCCGCCTCCACCATGGTGCGCACCAGTGCTCATCGTGGACGACACACCGCCACCGCCGCCGCCGCCGCCAATGCCACCAAGCGAGGCAGTGGATGCGCCACGCGCCATGTGGACGGAGCCGTATGTCTGGCCGCCGCTGCTGACGCTGCCGCCAGCACCGTGGCCAATGCTGCCGCTCGACTCGCTCGCATCCACGCCGCTCTGCGCCGTCGCTGTGGGCATACGCGGCCACTCCTCCACAAACGGCTGAATGGCTTCGCGGATTCGGTCTCGCAGCTCATAGCAGGTGAGCGCGTCGGCGTTGATGTGCACGAGGTGCGTGCGGGCCTCTGTCGGCAGATCGGGCAGCGAGGCGCGCTTTCCATCGGAGACCATCGACGTGCGAGCAGAGGCCACCCACAGCAGTGCCTCTGCTGTCGTTTTGATGAGCGTCGTCTTGCCGGAGCAGGGTGGACCCCGCACCACAACAGACTGGCACGTGCACATGCGATCCACAAGCTCACGTGCGGCGCGCAGGAGCTTGGCGCTTGGTAGCATGCACCGCTGCTTGCACAGCATGGTGAAGCAGCGCGTGAACAAGCTGTCGTCCTCCTGCAGGGCGCTCATGCGTGGAAACCGGTCCACGATTGCCTGCTCATACTCCAGGCGGGGCAAATATGCCTGTGGCACCTCGCTCACAGCAGATGCCAGCGCATGCTGCAGCCGTGCGGGCTTGGCGGCACCCGTGCTGGTCAGGTACGTCCACAGGCTGGAAGAAAAGTGCAGTGCAACCTGCCGATGGGCCTCCAGTTGCGAGAAGATTTGCGCACCAGCAGCGCCAGTGTCATGCGCGGGCTGTGATGCATTGCTCACCACGCTGCCAATGCTGGCGTTGCTCATGCTTCTTTGTCGGCCCGGTGGCTCGCGTGCAACACCAAGCTGCGACATGCCACCATCAGCGCCATCCTCGTCGCCGCCGCCGTCGCCAGCTCCATCACCACCATCAGCGTCATCCTCATCCGTACCCCCTTGATCCGAGGCGGTGGCGTTGACGGTGTCCTTGCGGTCATGTTTTTGGTCATCGCTACCCTCACCACGGTTCGTGTTGTCGGGCGCAGTTGAAGCGCCACCAACGTGTGCGTTCACGGCGCTTCTGTGCTCCCCGCTGGCATCAGCGCCAGCTTGGCCATCGACAACTGCCTCGCCAGCCTCGCTTTCCTCGTCAAGATCCTGCACGAACACGCGCACGTTGGAGGCCGGGCCCTCAGCACCACGAACCCCATCACCAGGAATGCCATCTGCTGACAGCCGCGACGCCGCAGCGCGCATCTCGGAAGGGCGCTTGGATGGTTTGGACACGGTGGACGACGGTGACAGGCTCCCACGGGCAGCAGCAGCAGCAGCAGCGGTCGTATGAGCAGCAGCAGCAGCAGAGGCAGCGCGATTGTCGCTTGCGCGCAGGGATGTGTGCGGGGCTGAGGACGCGTGCTGAAGGATAGAAAGGCACAGCGACTCCAGCGTGGACGACAGCACGTGCTCGTGGAACCACAGCGCACGTGGAAATGGGCGCGTGCCAAGTACACGCGCCTGGATGCGCCGCAACACCTGGGTCATGGTGCTAAGACCCTCCACAGCATTCAGAGGCATTCCATCCGCCCGTTCCGTGGCATCTGCGCCAGCCAGCGCGTGCAGCAGTGCAGTGATGCTCGAAAACCGCGCCGGGCACAGCGCCAGCTGGCGCAGACACAGCATGAGCTGGCGCGTCAGCTCCTCCTTCTGCGACCGCACCGCGGGTGGCAAGTCAAGCTGCTGCAGGTACACGCCAAACAGCCACGTGCCGTCGTGTGCGCCGCCGTCAGCCTGGGTCGCCCCTGCTGTGGCTGCAGCAACATTGGATCCAGCAACATTGGCGGTGTTGCTGGCATTTGCGTTGCTCGCGGTTGTTGTGGCAGCTGCACCGCTGCGCACGTCTTGTGTACCTGGCTGCTCCCCAAACGCGTCCTGGGTCACACGCACGTGCTGACCAGCGCTGTCTTCCACGCGGATGCCGACTCCGTGCCGCCTGTGCGTGTGGTCGTCTTGTGCATCCTTGTTGTCACCCAGTGAGGTCTGCTTGTTGCCGGGATTGACACCAGCCTTCTTCTTCTTCTTCTTGGAGCTTGGCGAGTGACTCGCCGCGTTAATGTTGGCTGCTGCTGCTGCTGCTGCTGCTGTGTTGGGCACGAGCGCTTGGGCCTGCTCCTTCACGTTGACGTACAGCAGCGCTGTGGCGAGGGACGTCAGCTCGCTGTCGGTCACGGAGCCGCCGCTGCGGTTTGTGTTGGTCGTTCGCGACGATGTGCTCTGCGACTTGGAGCTGACAGAGGCGGTGCCTACGCTGACGCGGGAGGTGACGTCTGCGAGCTGGTGCAGTGAGCTGCGCGACCACGCCTGGTTCGCCTCGTCCTTGAGGATGCGGTGTGTGCTGAGGATGTGCAGCAGCTGCCCTGCCGTGTCCTTGGTGCACTTGTCAATGTGTGTGAGCAGCAGCAGGTCGCCACACCGCGTGGCGCTGATCAGCTTGCCGGTCAGGGATGATTTCGTGCACCGTGCGCAGTCGATGTAGCGCAGCCGCCGACCAAGACACCATGCCAGCATTTGCAGCACATCCACCTGGTCCGTGGCAAGCTGGGGCAGGCTACCCCCGACACAGGTTGACACGAGGCTGTGCGGAACGCGCGGGAGAATGCGCAGGTCGCGCTTGAAGTTCTCTTTGAAGCAGAACCCGTACGGCATGGCGTCTCCGCTCACAGCCACGCACCACGAATAGTTATCGAAATTCGATGCGAGATTAGCGGCAGTCGGGTCGTCGCGGGCAGCATCGCGTGCGCCGTGTGCACCGGTGCCAGCACCGGCCATTGTCTTTGTCGGCTGCGCGCCGCGGTCTTTGCTCTCTGCGTCCAGCTGCAGCATGGGAGCGAGCTTTGGCATTTGCTTCCACGCCATGTGGTACAGCGGGTGCAGCAGCAGCTCCGCCATAAACTGCGTCCAGTCCTGCAGTTGGCAGAAGATGAGGATGGCGTTGGCAACCGCGGGCGGAAAGTTGGCCGTGTTGGACTCGAATGAGGGCGAGGACGGGTCGGTGCCGTTGAGGCCCGTGGTGATGTCTGCATAGGAAGACCAGCGCGGCAGGGGCGGCGATCCGCCAAGGTGCTCCGCCCACGCCTCGTTCAACTGCGCCATGGCAAACTCCCGCAGCATGCCCTGTGAATTGGGTTGGGGTGAGTTGAGGTGAGGTGAGTGAGTGAGTATGTGTGAGTGAGTGAGTGAGTATGTGTGTGTGTGAGTGAGTGAGTGAGTGAGTATGTGTGTGTGAGTGAGTGAGTGAGTGAGTGAGTGAGTATGTGTGTGTGTGTGAGTGTGTGTGTGAGTGTGTGTGTGAGTGAGTGAGTGAGTGAGTATGTGTGTGTGAGTGAGTGAGTGAGTGAGTATGTGTGTGTGTGAGTGTGTGTGTGTGTGTTCTGGATGGCTGAACGCTCAGCGAGGGAGCTGGTGCGGGGACGTCGCGTGAACTTGGTGCTCACGTGTGCCTGTGATGGTACAGACGAGTTATTGTAAGCAAGGTTGTGTGTTGCTAAACGCACCGAGATGACGGTTGCCTTGTCAATGGCCTCTTCCTGTGCCTCCAGTCCAACCAGCCGCTCCACAACCTCGCACATCATTGCTTCAATCGTCAGCCATACAATCTGCTGGCACGTGACGCGCAGCCAGCGCATCAAGCTTGCGCCAGGCTGCGGCGTGCCATCCACATCAAAGCACACGCTGCTCACAACGTGCTCCACCAGCTGCAACGGACAGAGCTCGTCCCCTGTCATAGATGGTGGCAACAGTCATGAAATTTGTGGTAGTGGTGGTGGTTAGTGGCAAGAAGCAACATGACCACACACATGAACAAAACTTCAAACAACGCAGAAGCCTGTGCATCCATCCACACACGCATATTTGCACATTTTCAAACACCAATGCACGCGCTTGCACGCGCACAAAGATGCATACAGCCAATACACATGCACACATACACACGCACTCACAAACGCGCACGCACTCACAAACACACCGTGCACAAAGGCGAGTGGATCTTGAGTGTTGACTTCGGACGCAATGCAAAGGCGGACACGGCAGCCGCCACGGTTTGCTTCGCGCGGTGTTGTGATGCGGAAGATGGAGCCGGGCGGGCGCTTGTGGATGGAATATGGGTCCGCAATTGCATGCATCGCCGACGCTGTCATCGCGTTGATTGACAAAACACGTGTGGATGAGTGGATTGTGCAGAATGTGAATGTGTGTATGCGCGCGAGTATCAGCACATATTGAAAGACAGCATGCAAAGAGAGCTCGCCCTTCGAAAGGCAAAATCGTGTGAAGTTCATCACCATCAACAAAACACAGCATTCCACAGCTCCAGACACACGCATGCACATGAGGCGTGAGAACATTCAACAAACACACGCAACGTACTCTCTGGCGGTGCATAGAGCCCGAGCAGCGACATGGAGCGGAAGAACTGACGACGAAGGCCAGACGTGGACAAGCGAGACACCTGGCACCAGCAGCGGCACACGTGTGGGGCAGTGAGCGAAGGTAAACAAGGTGCTAGACACAATATGCACACTTGCATGGGTGTGCAGACACAAAGTACACACCCACACACACGCGTGCGCTAGAACAGAGAGTTGCAAACACACGCACGCGTGCGCTAGAACAGAGAGTTGCAAACACACACACGCGTGCGCTAGAACAGGGTGCACACACACACACACACACACACACACACACACACACACACACACACACACACACACACACACACACACACACACACACACACACACACACACACGAGCGAACGTCCAACCCCTTACCTGTGAGAACCAGGTGTCCATTGGCTCCGTGCGGCGAACCAGGACCGGCCGCTCAAACACGAGGATATCGCCAGCGCCACCTTGCACGCCATAAATGCAACACGACACCTGCACGTGGCACATGGATAAACGTTGCGTGTCAGCTACTGTGCGGAGGTTTCACGCATACTCGCACAGAGAGAACAAATTCACACACGAATACGCTGCGCAGTCAAAACGTTGCACACACACACGCGCGCACACACACACGCACGCGCACACACACACACACACACACACACACACACACACACACACACACACACACACACACACACACAAAACAGCGCGCCCCTTCCCCCTCTTTGTGTCAGCGTTGTACTGACGTCATCAAGGTCCTTCTCATGCGTCTCAGACGGATCCATGAAGAGGAAATCGGAGGGCCCGCCCATGCATGCAAGCATCGCCGTCTTGACATCGTCCCCCTGCACATCAAAGTGATGACTCAGCACGGTGTACGGCTTCCGCTCCAGAAACCAGAGCTCGGGCATACGTCTGCGCAGTTCACGAAAGACGAAGCGGTCCATCTCCTGCGAGAGCGCCGCACCGATGGCCAGGAGGTCTTCAATGTGCGACTGCAGCTCAACACCACTCAGCATGCCGGGCACGGGACGGATGAGGCGATGGATGGCTGGCCGCATGTCAAGGTCCTCCAGAAGCGCACGCACACGGAGATCAAAGTCCACGGCGGCGTCAACGTGCGGGAAGCTGCACTGCAGATCAACCTGCGTGCTGAGGTTGCGTACAATGTACAGCCACTTGCGCTGCAGCTGCAGCAGGCTGTCCACCGTGCTGACGACGACGTTCATCTCGCCAACCAGGTGGCGCAGGCCGTCAACGACATCATCGAAGATGCCCAACCGCTCCCGTGCCAGGTGCAGTCGCGCCACCGTCTGCGTTGCCTTCGCCGTCGCAATCACCGTTTTGCAGTGCATCTCGCTCAGCACAAACGTGCGGTGGCGGTCGGCAATTTCTCCCATGAGCTCAACAGAGACAGAGGCGCGTCGCACCAGCGTCTCAATCACGCGCTTCTTCAGCGTTGTCGGCGACATGGCTCCGCGTGCCCGCCGCCAGGCAGCGTGGTCGCCGCGATCATCGTGGCTGTGGTGATGACCCATGGCGGCCGAGGACGCTGGGGACGGGTGAAGCCATGCCGAGTCAACGTCCAGCTCGCCCGGAACCACAACGTCATCGCTCGTGTGTCGGCGCACGGCGCGGGCGGGTACAGCGGTGAGCACGCTTCCATTGAAGCCGAGCCACTGGTGGGGTGCAAGGTCGCGGTGCATGCCTGCAGCGCCAGGCGCAATTCCACCGTGCATGCCGTTTTTCTTGTTCGCATCTCGCCACTGCAACAGGTGATGGCGTGTGTTACCATCACCACCTGCACCACCATTCTTCTGCCCGTGCTGACGCACGCCTCGCTTGGCGTTCCAGTGAGCGCCGTTGTTGATGTTGCTGTTGTTGCTGCTGCTGTTGTGACCGTTGTTGTGACCATCGTTGTTGTTGAGGTGCCGGGCACCATGCCTGTAAGAGCCGTGGTTGCGTTGTTGGTGTTGGCCACCGGCGCCTGCCGAGGTATCAGTATCGCTGTCGCTGTCTCCATTGTTGTCGTGCTGGCTGAGCGTGTTTGAGAGTGCGGGCAACAGCAGCTGCTGGAAGCCGAGCTGGATGCGCGTGTTTTCGTTGTGCAGGGCGCCGTTCGTTGCCTTGAGCCACGCGGCCGCCGCGCTCTCCACAATGGCCGTGACCTTGAGGTCCTGGATGGTGCGCCGGTGGTTCACAACACCAAGCACCTCCAGCTTGCGCAGCGTGAACACCTGCTCCTCCGTGTATGTCACGCCGAGCGCAGCAAACAGCAGCCGCCAATGGTTGTGCGACACCTTGTCGCTGGCAAACGGCAGCAGTACTTCGCCCAAGTCAAGAAAGCGCTGCAGTCGCTTCTCAAGGTGCGTGAGAACGCTGTCGCCAGGCACACGCGCTTTGATGGCGTGGATGGTACCAACCCAGTCGCGTGCCGTGCGCCACATCACCTCAAGCGCAATGTCGCGGTACGGAAGAACCATCCAGTTCTTCAGACTGCTCGACACAATCTTCGCCTGCGTCCAGATGGACTTGCGCAGCTCAAGCACTTCCTCCGTCTGCATGATGGCAGTTGACACAAGTGGGGGGGGGCGGAGGCAGAGAGAAAGAACAAGAAGGGTGTGTGTGTGTGTGATGGAAGATGGAGTTCAAGCCAGGGGAGAAAAAGGACGGGAGAACAGGCGGAGGAGATTGGGGGGGGGGGGGAGGGGGAGGGGGTACGATTGATGTGAGTTGGGGTGGAAGTTACATGCAGTTGCAAGAATGGGAAGCTGAGGGTGGCACGCCATTTGACGAGAAAAGAGCCAAGGTCGAGGGGAAACGGATATGCGCATTTCCTCTTCCTCCCTGCTTCGCCGCATGCACACAAATCCAACACAACAAACACGCAACAGCACAATAGAACACACACGCACGCACGCACACAGACACGCACAGACACACACATACACGCACGCACAGACGCACGCACGTACACACACGCGGTCGCACAACAAAGCACAACAAGTAGTACGCACCTGTGGAAGCTCCTTGAGTTCGACCGTCTTCCCTGAAATGGTCTTGAGCGCATCGCAGAACGTCTGCACCTCTGTCTTCAGCGCCATAAGCTCACGGCCGGCGGAGAAGATGCCTGAGAGGGCTTTGCCAACACGCGAGTGCGGGTGGAGGTACAAACCTTGTGACACCGCCTGCCGCAACAGCGCAGCCTGGGACTCGTGCGCATTGATCATGTCGGTGAGCTTGGCCACCATGGTTGGCTCAAGCACCTTCACCAGGTTCTGCGCGGCGGAGAGGAGGGAGGAGAACTCGGACCACGACGCATCAAGATCAAGCAGTGCCTGCTTCACTTCCCCCGTCATGTCGGCACCAACATTCAGCTCCTTGAAGATTCTGGTCAGAACGAAAAGGGCGTGGCACAGCGGCAGCAGGGAGAGGGGGCGTGAGAAGTTGTGTGTGTGTGTGTAAGTGTCAGTATGTATGAGCGTATGTAAGTGTGTTTGAGTGTGTGAGAGTGTCTGTCAGTGTACTTGGGATGAACATCAGACAGGCCTTGAGCAGGGTTCAAAATATAAGGTAGTGAGCTCCAATACGTTGAGCCGAAACACCCCGCCGTGTACACACACACACACACACACACACACACACACACACACACACACACACACACACACACACACACACACACACACACACACACACACACACACACCTTGATTTGGTCTTCATGAGTTCTGTGAGGAGATCGTATTTGGAGCTGAAAGTCGACTGCAACTGCTGCGCACGGTGGACAGCAGCAACGACCTGATGTGCGCATACGAACAGTGTACGGAGAGTGCGGGTGAGTGAGTGCAGTTGCGTGGAGAGAGAGAGTGTGTGTGCGTGCGTGTGCGTGCGTGCGTGCGTGTGTGTGTGTGCGCGCGCGCGCGCGCGCCAACTGACCTTTGCGTACTCCTGGGAAGTTGGGTGGGTCATGTTGACCTCCTGTCTGAGCTTGGTGACCTCGGCAGCAAACATGTCCACGAGCGCCTTGCTGTCGCGGCGGATGCACGTGGTGAGGAGGTTGTCCAGGTCCGCCGCAATGGCCTTGATGCGCGGCAGCACGTGCAGCTGCAGCTGCCGGCACTCCAGCCGCACAAGCTGGTTCTCGCTGAGGGTGAGGGTGGGCACGGAGCTGACGGCGCGCGTCCATGCCATGAGCTGTTGTTGGAGGTCAAACAGCTGCCGCGGCTTGCTCTGCCACACCTTGAACGTCTCCTGGTTCCACGACGACACGAAGCTCGACACCTCTCCAAGCCAGTTGTACTGGGAGATGCGCCCAACAATGTTTGCGTACGCAGCCAGCAGGCGGTCCTGTATCAGCGCCCGCAGCCGCTGGCGAATGCGCGTGTTGGACACAAACTGCATCGTGTGCACGGCAAGCTGTTTTCGGAGCGCCTTGATCTCGCTGCTCTCAAACGGCGTTTGCCCCTGCACGCCACCAACGTCACCTTCGCCACCCATCTCCTCCAGACTTCGCTTCAGAAACCCAACGTGCCGCATGTGGCCGGGCTTCTGCTCCTCCACGGCGCGCACCACCTTGTCGTAGCCGTCGAGCGCGGGCGTGCTGAGGTCCAGGGTGCCCAGCACCTTGATCACGTCCGTGACCGTCGGGGTTGACGACATGCTCAGCACAGCGCCAAAGAGGGTGGCCAGCACGCAGCCAAACGCGCGGCACGTGCTCAGGTCAATACACTCCACCATGGCCTCGTACGCCGGCTCTGCGTTGGCCAGGCCCTCGGCGTCAATCAGCAACTGCACGCGGATCAAGCCAACGGCAGACAGGCGTGTGCGGGAGGTGTTGTCCACGAGCAGCACTGGCGAAATGATGTGCTCCAGCGGGTCGCGCTGCTTCCCCGTCGCCCCAGCACCGCGCCGACGGCCATGGTGGCGGCCATCCTCACTGTCATCGCTGCCAATGTCGTCGCTGTAATCACCATCATCATCGTCGTAATCATCATCATCACCATCATCATCATCCGTTGTGTGCCGATTCCTAGCACCGTCGCTGTCGTCATTATCATCGTTGTCGTCGTCACCGTTGCTGCGGCTGGGCTTGGTTGCACCCCTCCTTTTCTTCTCTAATCCTTCACCACCATCACCACCACCACCATCACCACCACCACCATCACCATCATCATTGTCGTCGTCGTCGTCATCGCTTGCATCCAGCGTCGCCTCCTCTCGCATGTATCGTGCAAAACGCACACCGCGCTGCTTGTTCCGCCTTGGCCTGGCTGTGCCGAGTCTGCCTTTGCCACTGTTGGCCTCATCTTCCTCGTCTTTGTACATGGACGTCCACCCGAGCGCCTTGCCAAGCTCGAAGCGCAGGCTGGACGCAAATAGGGAGATGAGGTGCTGCTGGTACATGCGCATGAGCAAGGCTTCGAATTTGGGCAGCCGCGCCAAGTCCTCCTCCACGCGTTTTAGCTGTTGCGTCAGGGCATTGCGCTGCTGCTTCTGCAGGGAGATGCCGGCTGCTTCTGTCAATTCTTCTGTCTGGTCCAGCAGCTCCTTGCGCCGTGACACCATGTGGCGCCAGCATGCCAGGACATCTTTGGTGGTGGACTGCATGGCAAGCACGAACTTGGGCAACACGTCTTGCAGCTGCTGCTTCGTGTTGCCTTCCCAGTCTGCGTCGCTGTAGCTCTTGTTCATGTCCAGATTAAACAGCCGCGTGTGCATGATGTCGAGGAACCGCTCGTGCGCGGCACGCAGACACTTGTGGTAGTGTGAATTGCAGATGAACGCACGTGCGTGGATTTGCCGGGAAAGCCGCTCAAACCGTGAGCGCGCCTGGTACCGCTTCCACGCTGCCAATGTGTGTGTGTGTGTGTTGTGTTGTGTATTGGGGGAATGAGAGACATGCTTGAGCGGGGAGAGTGCTGTGCGTGCGGGCGCCATTCAACGGCATTGAACACCATTGACATCAACAAAGCACCTGCTCACGGACACACACATACAGAAACGCACGCACGCACACAGGATGCACGTACACACACACACACACACACATATATATATATATATATATACACACACGCACGCACGCACACACACGCGCGCACGCACGCACGCACACACACCTTGGAAAGCACGACGCTGGAGGTAGTGTCTGAAGAATGACATGCGGCGGAGGCGGTGGAAATTTGCCTTTTGCCGCGCCCACTCGTCCAGTGTCAGGTGCTCTGTGCCACCAGGCTCAACCAGCATGATTCCTGTAGCAACAGAGGAGGAGGAGGAGGAGGAGGAGGAGAGGAAGCGAGGAACCGTCAGGCGTGTACGTGTGCGTATATATTTGTGAGTGAGTGAGTGAGTGTGCGTTTGTGGACAGACATACATATACGTGTGTGTGTGTGTGTGCGTGCGCTTGCATGCATGCATGATGTTGTCGTGGCGAGCGTGCCCGAAAGGACAGCGTGGAACCAATACAATGGCAACAATCTATGCCGAGGGAACACTAGAAAGCAAAAACGCCGACATCAGCGTGGGTGGATGCAACGACGTGTCGCACCTTCACGGGTCATGATGGCATGACGGGCCGGGTTGAGAGCGGACTTGTCAACGACAACAAGGCGGTACGGGTCAAAAGGCTGAGCGTCACCCTCCCCGCCGCTGTCGTTTGCGTAGTTGAGGTAGAAGTGCGACTTGAACAGGTCCCCGTCCGATTCCATGGACAGATACACCATCACCTCCTCGGCCGTCTTGGGCGCCTGCGGCAGCTTCTCCAGGCGAATGCGGGTGAGAGCCGTGCGTGAGGATGCGTCCGTGCGCGGTGGCGCCGATGATGATGAGGACGAGTGGCGCCGGCCACTGCGGCGTGCCACGCCCCGCGATGCAGACATGGGGCGTGATCGCGCCCGCGCGAACCCACCACCGCCACCGCCGCTGCCGCCGCCGGCTCGCTCCAGTGTGGCAGCAGCTGTTGTTGTTGCGGGTGACGCTGCGACCGCCACGGTGTCAAACAGGCCCGCCGCAGCTACCGTTGCTGCGGACTTGGCGTTGAACGCTGGCTTTGGCAGCGTTGCGGCCTGCGAGGGCGCGTGCTTGCCGGCAGGAGGGGCCGTACCGCGCGGTACGGGGGCATTCAGTGCCGGGGGAACGGGCGTGACGGAGCCCGAGGTTGCAGACGGGTCGACCGGCGGCAGGCGGGGACGCCTGCGTTCTGTCACGGGCGTCGCTGCCTGCAGTCGCTGGGCCGTTGTTCCTGCTGCGGGCAGTGATCTGAGGTGGTCCTGCAGTGGATGTGCTTGTGGGACCAAGGGCTGGGCTCGCGCAGCGTAGTAGGCAAGCCCGCTGTCGGCCTCCATATCCTCCGGAGTGAGGGCGTTGAGGAACTGCAGCACGTGGCATGCGCGATCCCAGTAGTTGGCCTGCGTGGCCACGCCCGAGCAGCCGTTGATCAAGCATGAGCGCAAGAGTGTCAGCAGCCTGCGCCGGTCGTGACGTGCTTCCTGCACATCGCGCTGCCACTGTTCCTCGTCCAGGGCCGCCTGCTGTTGCAACTGTTGCTTGTCCTGCTCCTGTTGCCGCTGAAGTTGTTGCTGCTGCTTGCGCAGCTGTGCTTTCTTGATGCTTGCGATTCGGGCTGCGCGCGGATGCGGGTGTACTCTTCTTGATTGTTGTTGCTGTTGCTGTTGTTGTTGTTGTGATTGCTGCTGCTGCTGCTGTTGCTGTTGTTGTTGACGCTTCTGCGTGTGTTGGCTCCTTCCCCGCGATTGTTGGTGGATTTCAGGCAGCTTTGGGGTTTCCATGGTTGCGTTGCGGAAAGTGGGGAAACGCACTGCTGGCGCGCTGTTATTGCTTGTCACAGTCACCGTTGATATTGCTGCAGCCTGCACTCAGCACACATACACGCACACGCACACGCACACGACACCCAACAGCACGGAAGTGGGGTTGCTAGTTGCTGGTGGTCATGTGCTGGTTGTGTTTGGTGGTGTTGATGCTCAACGACCACCACAACAAGAAGACAGGCAAGCAAGCAAGCAAGCAAGCTGCTGTGCTGTTGCTTGGCCGTTTCTAAGACTGGATTCAGTCTCTTGAGGAAATAAACTGAAATCAGTATCTGACCCTTCTGTGTACACCCAACAGCAGCAGGGCAGAGGTTCAAAACCTCTCAAAGGTTCAAAGGGTCGCAAGGTCCAAAAAGCCTCCCATCGAAGAAGGCAAGAGCCACAGCAACCATGGCAAGAAGGGGAGCACACGCACAAAGGCAGATGCAGAGGGTGCATGTGTGGGTTGGGCTGTTGTGCTGCTTTTCTTGCGGCTGCGTTGTTGCAGTGGCAGCGGCAGCAACAGCAGCAACACCACCAACAACAGCAGCAGCAGCAGCAGCAGCAGTCGATGCCACCAACGTGGACGTCAACGCTGGCACTGCCAACCACAATCGGCAACCAGGCGAAGACGCCTTCAGTCAGCTGCGTCCAAATACCAGGCGATTACCGCATGTATGGAAGGACACGGACCTTGGGCCTCGCCTTCAACCCGAACTCATCGGTGAACTGCTATCATGGGGTGAATGGGTAGAGCAGAGGGCTGGATGGATGCGTGGCTGTTCAGTGTCCTTGTGGACACGGGCATAACTAGAGTTCTGAAGAGCTATCTGGGTCCAGCGAATGCGCACATACACACACCTTCACCTTCATCGCCCACACCTTCATCCACTTACACACTCACGCAAGTGCAATCGACTTCAACATCGCTCACCACCATCCCCATTCCCCAACACACGCACACACACACACACACACACAATGCACAAACAGGTATTGGGTGCCAGAAGTGCGGTACCACGAGCCTGTTCTACTACCTGCAGCAACTGCCATGGGTTGTACACACGTGGCGGAAGGAGCAGCACTTCTTTGATCGAGGCACAACCGTCTCCATCGACATCAACTCACGGTACCAACAAGCCAAGATTCTCAAACAGTACAAGCACTACCTTCGCCGCTGGCCAAACGTCACAGAGGCAACAACATGCACGCTGGAGCAGTGTCACGTCAACACCACGCTCTCCAACCGCACGGCGGTGGACATCAGCCCCATGTACCTCTCCGACCGGCGCAGCCCTTGGAGCCTACATGAAGTGCTGCCGCACGCAGCGCAGGTGAAGCTGGTGCTGCAGATTCGCGACCCTGTCACGAGAACTCTGTCCGGGTTCCGTCAGGGCAGCCCAGGCGACACGGTGGACGAGTTTGCGGCCGTGACATCAACAGAGCTGCACCTTCTGCACCACTGCTACAACAGCAGCCTTCAGCTTGCCCATCCCAGCCCAAAGACGACAGGCGACAGCAGCAACCCGTTTGGCATCACCTGCAACACCGGCCATCACCAGTACGCGGCCCTCTACCGTTGTGTGAGCGCACTTGCCGAGTCTGCTGACGGAAAGGCGCTCACACAGGACAGGCCTTGGTTCCAGCACTTCACGCGCAAGGGAAATAAGGAGTTGCTGCAGCAGCACGTCAGCCTCAAGCTCCTCAAGAAGTACGAGGGGCACGTGCACCGTAGCATCTATGTGGACCAGCTCATCAACTTCCTGTGCGCGGGCTTTCGCCCAGACCAGTTTATCGTCGTCACCACGACCGAGCTCAAGGCAGACGCTGAAGGCGTGCTGCACAGGATAGCCACGGCGCTCGACAGGCCATCGCAGCTTGCCGCGCAAGCACGCAAACGTGTTCTGAGTGGCATTCACGCCAACATGCACAGACACTCCCACACCATGCCTGACGCCATGGAACGAGAGCTGCAGGAGTTCTTCCAACCATACAACCAGCGGCTGTTGGATGTGTTGGATTTCTACGGCTTTGTCTTCAACAGAACCGCGATGATCCACGAGCTCAACCTGCAACAATAAGCAAACTTTCACGTGCGTGCATGTGTCAGTGCACATGTGTGTCTGTGCGTGCGTGCATGTTTTGTACGTGTGTGCGTATATGTCTCAATGTGAGCGTGCGCGTGTTCGTGCATGCATGTGTGTGTGTAAATGTGTGTGTGTGTGCGTGCGTGCGTGTGTGTGTAAATGTGTGCGCGTGCGTGCGCGTGTTCGTGCGTGCGTGTGTGTGTGTGTCTGCTTGTTCCCGCCCAGTCGTGATACGTGGTGGGCTTGTGTGATGCTGTGCATCCACTGCAACTATTCATTGCTTCAGTCGTAGCCGACACACTGTGGGCTCTTCAAGCCCACACCTCTCAATAAACAATGGGGCAAGCCAACAAGCAGGCAGGTAGACTGGCAGGGTGGTGACGGTGGAGATGATGATAGTCATGCTCACGAACAAGCATGTGTGCATGAGGGTCAAAGCCAGGCAGGAATGTGGACCGCCACAGCTGGACGTCTCACTGCAACATTGTTTCCAAAGCGCAAGTCGCCCTGGCAAGTCATTCACCCTCGCATCCTCGCCGACACTGACGCGTCACCTGCGCCTGCACGACGAGCACCATCGAAAAACCACGAGCTCCGTCGCCACCCCCCCTTGCAGTAGCATCACTGCAACCGTCATCAATCAGCACTGTCATCGCCACTGTCGTTACCACCACCATCAGCACGTCCACGACCACGACCAGCAACACCCGCACTCGTGCTCACTGCTTCCCGCAGCTGGTTCACCTGCTCCCTGCGCAGGGCGAGGATGCGCTTTCGTCGCTGCAGCACATCCTTTTCCAGCTGGTGCACGTGCTCACACAGCTGTGGCATTGACAGCTGCCCAACCTGTACACTGCTGAACCCACCAGCAAGCACGCCTTCGCGCACCTTTGCACGCTTTGCACGCACGGCCCGAAGCTCTCGCAACAGCCGCATGTCCTCCTCAGTGTGGGGCACCCACTCGTCCCCGTCCATACCACTATCATTGCCGCTGGTGCGCTGTTGCAGTGTTGCTGGTGGCCGCACCTGGGGCACATGGCCCATCGGATGGGATGGTGCCATGCTTGCCTGGTGCGGCATGGAGTAGGGTGGCTGTGCAGGTGTTGCTGCTGCTGCGAAAGGGTGGGGCAGTAGCGGCGGTCGAGAAGACATGGATTGGCCATGCGCCCCCGCCATCACGCGTGTGGGTGTAGTCACGGCTGCACGTGGCACATGCTGCTGCTGCTGCTGCTGCTGTTGCCACTGGCGCAGCCGCTGTCGCCGCTCTTCATGCATGCCGTCGTCCTCGATGCTGGCAGCACTCCCTGAGATGGTCGGGCGTTGTGCCAGTTGGAGTTGGGAAAACGACGAACCCGGCACGTGCTGCTGCTGGTGCTGCTGCTGGTGCTGCTGTGGTTGCTGTAGCTGTTGTTGCTGCGGACGGCGTGGGGGCCCGAGGAGCAGGCCGTGCTGCTGGGCCATGCGCCGCTGCTGGTCCGTCGTGGGCACCTGGTACCGCACGTGCGCATCATATGCGGGCATGCTGAGCGGCGAGCGCGCGAACATCTGCAGCTCGTGCACAAACAGCTCTGTGTGTGCGAGGAGGAAAGGCGCCAGCGACTGCACGAGGATATGGGTTGCTCGCAGGTCCGTGGTTGAGAGGAGGGACTCGAGATAGGCGTACACAAACGCGGTGTTTGTTGGCACGAGCGCGTTGATGTCTCGCTTGGCCCAGGCAAGCACGCGTCGCCGGTTGCGTTCGTCGCGTGCCAGCCCGGAGGGCGCAATGCTGCGCTCGCGAGCACGCAGCTGCTCGTCGTACTCGGGCAACGCACGCATGTTGGCGGCGTAGACAGCGCGTCTCCTGTCCAGCCCTGTCTCGCGCCGTCGCTCGTCCGCCACCGTCTCATGCGCCGACCACCTGCTCGTGGTGTGCCGCCTTCGATCACGTCGCGCGTCAAACGCACCAGCATGGTGATGGCGGCGATGGTGGTGGTGGTGGTGGTGAGGATGGTGTCGGGAGAAAGGGGGCGCTGGCTCTGGCGCCGGCGGTCGTTGTGGCGGCAGGGTGATCCGCTTGAAGATGGTGGCGGACTTGATCGAGTGGATGACGGAAGACACTGGCGCCTTGCAGAGCGGGCATGTTCGCGACACGTTGAGCCACGACATGATGCACTCGAAGCAGAAGCTGTGGAAGCACCCGTCCAGCAAGGCCTTGTCGTTCAGGGCATCCAGGCAGATGGGGCAGCTTTCCTGCTCGTCCCCGTGTGCATCTTGCTCGTCACCATCAGGGTCTTTGAGCGTCCCATGGCTACTGCTGCTATTGGCCATGCTGCTATTGGCCATGCTGCTGGCCGTACCGTTGGTTGTGTCGGTGGTGGAGGCGGTGGTTGCGCCTTTGGTGGCGTCGTTGGTGCGGTTGACACTGGGTACATCGGCCGGCATGGCCCTGCTGCTCACGCCCATCCCACCGCCGTCGCCGTCTTCTGCATCCGCGGCCTCATCTAGCAACCGCCTTCTCTCTGCTACCACGCCAACATCATCGTCGTCATCTTCTTCTTGGTCAACAACCCGGGTGCTGCCATGGGCGTGCAGCGCAACAACATCATCATCATCACGAGTGCGTGCGATCGTGCGATGCTGCGCCATGTTCGTTTGTTGTTGTCGTTGTTGTTGTTGGTTGATGATGAATGGCTGGAAGAGCAGGTTGGTTGGATGTTGTTTACTGATGATGATGATGATGCTAACTAATGATGTTGACGTGTGAACCAGCACACAAGGAAGGTGACATGACAGCAAGCAAGCAAGCAAGCAAGCAAGCAAGCAAGCAAGCAAGCAGGAATCAACGGGTAGAGCGCAATATGAAGAGATGGCCACACATGTAGGCACAAGGGTCCCTCCTGTGTCAAGGGGTGCCGGGTTCGGGTGGCGGGGTTGCGAAGATCAGCGGTGGTGATTCGGCGGTGGCTGAAGCACCCGGCCGCTGTTGGTGCAGGAAGGCGGGAAGCGCAGCGAGCGCAGCTTCGATGGCAGGCACAACGCCTTCATGGCACGGGACGAGGGATGCGACCTTGTGGGCCGGCAACCACTTTGCGTCTAACGCATCGTCGCCCGCGCGAGGTGTACCTGTGCCAACGCCCAGGAAGTCCAAGATGACGTAGTGGTGCTGCACCTCGCCGGACGCGTTGGTGAAGATGCCGTCGATCAGCTTCACGAGCGGCCCCATGGCTGCCGCGGTGATGCCTGTCTCCTCGCGCGCCTCTCGGGCTGCGCCAGCGGTCACCTCCTCGCCCAGCGCCAGCCGCCCGCCCGGGAACGACCACAGCCCTTGCGCTGGCGGGTTCTTGCGCTGGATCAGCAGCACGTGCGGGTCTTCCAGCCGCGCGCTGTCGAACATGACGCATGCCACGCCAATCTGCGGATGCACCGGTGTCATGCGCGTACTGCTCGCCCTCACTGGCCGAGCAACGCGAACATGGCTGCACTGTCTTCCTGCAAGCGCGCTGCGCGCCGCCACACTCGCCCCGTTCACCAAACGACAAAGCGACAGCCCCAGCTTCATTTCTGGCTCGTGGTGAATGATGAAAAGTGGTGGTGGTGGCGGCGGTGGTGGTCGGTGAACGGTGAAAGCGCCAGGTTGGTTGGATGAATGAACATGGGGATGACAACAAGGAGGGATTGTTTACGCTGGCATAGGACACCATGAGGAGCAAATGTGTGTGTGTGTGTGTGTGTGTGTGTGTGTGTGTGTGTGTGTGTGTGTGTGTGTGTGCGTGTGTGTGTGTGTGTGTGTGTGGTTGAAGAATGGCTCATGCGACATGAAGCAAGCGAGGCAGTGTGCTGCTGAGACTAGGAGTAACGAGTGGGGGAGGATGTGTCGAATGTAACTACGATCGTCATGTCACCACCGACTTCTGGTTAGATATCAAGTGCTGCAACAGCATCTTTTGCCTGTTGCGCTGTTGCTCGCGCCGCCACGTCCTTCACAAATAGCCGCTCCGCTGTGTGTGTGTGTGTGTGTGTGTGTGTGTGTGTGTGTGTGTGTGTGTGTGTGTGTGTGTGTGTGTGTAGGTGAGACAGCAGAGGACAAAACGCAACTGATCTGGAACGACGCAGTAGTGCTTGCATGGCGCACGCATCACACTTCCTCTCTTCCCCTCCAACATTAACGCACCGATCACGTGGTCAAACGCAGCGTACTGCGAGGACTGCGGGACCTTGTACTTGACATTGACAATGGCCAGCTTCGCCCCATCCTCAAACGGGTGCACGCGGTGGCAGAGCACGTGCAGCAGACACCCCAGCGCCTGTGCGGGTATGTGTGGGTGCACGTGTGTGTTACGTGTACGTGTGAATATGAACAACATGAAAGAAAAGAGAGGCACTGGCATTCCTGCACAGCACAGCACAGCGCAACACCCACACACACACATACCCACACACACATACCCCCCCCCCCCACACACACGCACACACACACACACGCACCCAGACGTCGAGCTTTTCATTGATGGGCTGTTCGGAGAATAAGTCCAACATCTCGGGGCTGCGGTTTTGGGGCGTGGTCATCTAGAAACGCGGAAGCGAAGCAGCAAACGAGGGACAAGCCGCGTTGAAGCACAAAGAGGTGCAATACAAGCAACACGCAAGCAAGCAAGCAAATCAAGGGAGCGAACAAGCTGTTGCCAAACGCGCGAACGCGAAACCACACAACACCCACAGACAGACAGACATACACACACACACACAATATGTGCATACACACGCACGCACATGCACGACTCACGGCTTCTAATCTCTCTGCAGTTGCCATCTTGGCGCGATAGTCGAGGGCGGCGGGATCAATGGTCTCCGTCGTGCAGGACCCAAAGTCGCACAGCTTCACAACGTTGTCTGGGGAAGGAGGGAAAAACACGGGGTGGTGGGAGTGAGTGCAACATGCTTTGACGAGCACACACCTTGGCAGGCAGGCAGGCAGGCAGGCAGGCAGGCAGGCAGGCAGGCAGGCAGAAAGAC